CAAACAACACCCAGCCATGCATATAGCAAGTCTCATTACCATCTTATAACCGTCTGCTTCCCTCTTGCTGCTATCCTACTTTGACGCTTCACCCCTGCACTCACCTCCACTCTGCCTGCACTCTTTTCTTCACCCCTCATGTGCACTGTTCACTTCTTTCGATGGTCCCAGCTACTGAAGCTCTTCTACCATCACTGTCTCTACTCCTTGCGTCTGCACTGTCCCACCTGCCCGACTCGTATTTATACTTATGCTTCTATTGATTTTCATCTCTTCTCTCCAGAGCATTCCTCCACCTCATAGGATATTGGAGTTCTACTCTCACTACAGATGAGTGTCGTCTGCAAACAGGTGCTTCTCTGGCCTCACCTGTCACTCTGCCCATTAGCACTGCACACCAGAGTGGGCTCAGAGCAGATCCCTGATGTAATCTCACCATCCTTACGCCCATCCTGCACCACCCTCACATACTTCTCTGCCACTCTTGATTTCTTCATGCAGAACCACAGCTCCTCTCTTGGCACTGTATCATCTGCTTTCTCTGATCCATAAAGACTCGGTGAAGCGTCACATCTGTAGTGCTCTTCCACTCGGTGCATGAAACCATACTGCCACGCACTGATTGACACCTCTCTTCTTAACCTGGCTTCAACTCTTTCCCATGTCTTCATGGTATGCCTCATCAGCTTTGTCCCTCTGTTTTGTTCTGCAGCTCTGTACATCACCCTTGTTCCTGACACTTGGTCGACTAAACGAGGAAAAGTAAACTGGACTAAACTAGAGATGGACCGATCCGATATTACGTATCGGTATCGGTCCGATACTGACCTAAATTAGTGGATCGGATATCGGAGAAAAATAAAAAATGTAATCCGATCCATTAAATATCACGAAAGCACCTCACAAAACTTGCAACACGCCGTAACTCACCTCAGAACGTTAGCACGTCGGAGCAGTATGCATCACGTGATAGAGCAGCTGTGGCATGCGGGACCTGTGGTGGTCTGGATAGCATTTGGAGCTTCGCTAGCAACCTGGCATTTCATCTCCGATAAAGTTATCCCCGAGAGAAGTAAAGCAAGTGTGTAAGTCCATCTCTGAATGTTTGTAAAGCATTCCTGCGTTAAGCTTAACAAACGACTGCCTCTTCTTGCTGCTACTTCAATCATGAAACTGCTTAACGATCAGCTGATCGGCTTTTCTGTCGCGAGTCCGTGTCTCTAGTTTGCTTTTGGCCCACTTTGCACCAGAAAGAGGAAACCAGCGGCTGAACAACAGCAGCACGTTTAAGCTTGATCAGCTATTGTTAGAATGTATTTAATATTACTTTCTACACCAGGATCTTTTTCTACGTAGCTGACGCTGGTAACTGTGCAGGGGCGGATCTAGCAAAGTTTAGCCAGGGGGGCCGATAGGGCATTAACTGGGAAAAGGGGGCACAAAGACATACTTTTCTTTATTCTCATTTAAAATGTCTAGCTTTTAATAAATAATTATCTGACACCCAAAGTTTTAATTTGATGCAAAATGAATAGAAGTCAATTACTGTATATAGTGACTATTAAGTCTAATATATATACCCTAGTAAGCTATAGTACTTTTTCCTTTGGGAAGGTACCATCTGTGCAGTCTGCAATTTTGTTGAAGAAAGATGTTGAATCTATTTAATATTTCTTGAAAAATAATTGATTTCTGTGCATTTTTTTTTCACACTGCATCAAATTAAGGTTGATTACGTCGATTAAGCATCATGAGGTGGAGCGTGAGGGGTGGTTCCCTATTTTTTATTTATTTATTTTTATTGTTGCTGGGAGTTGGAACTCTATTAGTTAGGTTGCTTAATATATATGCTAAGTAGGGCTGCCACGATTAGTCGACTAGTCACGATTACGTCGACTATCAAAATCGTCGACGACTGATTTAATAGTTGACACATCGTTTGAAGCTTTGTAAGATCCCAAAAGACGCAGGAATAAGTAGCAGGATTTAAGAGTGTAATAACGGACTGAAACAGAAGATGGCAGCACTGCATGTACAAGGATGTCAGCTACCGTTAAACCCCGAAGAAGAAGAAGCTGTGTCCCAGAATTCATAGCGCGGCCCTGCTTAGTTTCCAACAATGGCGGCAGCTAGTTAGTTTTAATATTACTCTTATTATTCTTTCTGGGTCACAAAATAAACGTTTAACATATTTTCAGGTGAGAATGTAGCTGTGTAAACCTCAAATATCTGCTCAGTTTATCAAGACACCACATATTTTCAAAACCGCTCCGACGTTTTCGGAGACGTCTGTTACCCACTAGCTCGATAGTTAGCCGGGGGCTAGGCTAACTAGAGCCGTGAGAACACCGGACTCCCGGCAAATCGTTTTCAAACCCACCGCAGTCTTTGTCTACTCAGGTTAAATATGATATATGAGTCACTTAGATAACTTAAATGTTATTGTTTGGCTTTTTCAGTGTTTTATTTGTTCCTGAGTAAATCGGTTTGGCTGAGATTAAAGTTATAGTTTTTACACAGCTGAATAAACATCAAGCAGACAGCTGATTATCAGAAGTGTGAGATGCTCGAGAATTTACTCCGGTGTCCTGTTATAGTTTAGATAGCAAGGAGTTTATTAAACTTCACCGAAACAATCTGCAAATTTCATTAAACTTTAATAAACTATCATCTTGTCTTTATTTTTAGTGAGCACAGACCTTAAACACTTCAAGCTGTAAGCTAATGATAGTTATATAAGAGCAGATGCTGCTGGTGCAATAAGCTGTACGTTTTACATCCAATGGATGATGATCTGATTAATCGACTAATCGCAGAAATAATCGGTGACTAGTCGACTATCAAAATAATCGTTTGTGGCAGCCCTAATGCTAAGTACTCTTTAAAATACCAGAATAGGGAGGATGGTGTAGGTCTAAGTTTATTAGATTGATCAGTATTGCTGAACTATGAAATATTTTTTTTTGCATACAGGTATAACAGAATAGCTTTAGTGTAGTTGTTGTTTTAAACTTGAGTATGAACTTATACAAAATGCAGCAAGATATTTAAAAAACAGTTTTGTTGATTAAAAAACACTATATCGGATTCATATCGGTATCGGCAGATATCCAAATTTATGATATCGGTATCGGTATCGGACATAAAAAAGTGGTATCGTGCCATCTCTAGACTAAACGACTAATCTCAAATCAAGAAACACTCGGATATTAAGTGACGTTTGAGAACCGTTTAATGGAAAATGTCAAAAACTAATAAGGTGTTTTAAACCATTATTCACGTTCTTCAATCATGAATGATGCCGCATAAATGTGTAGCACTTCACATCGTTAAACATTTTCTTTCACTTACTGACCTCCTCACCCAACGCTAAGGCGTAGACCAGGGGTGGGCAACTCCAGGCCTCGAGGGCCGGTGTCCTGCAGGTTTTAGATGTGTCCTTGATCCAACACAGCTGATTCAAATGGCTAAATTACTTCCTTAACATGTCTTGTAAGTTCTGCAGAGGCCTGGAAAGGAACTAATCATTTGGTGTGCTGACCCAGGGTGAGATCCTGCAGGACACCGGCCCGCGAGGCCTGGATCGCTCACCCCTGGCATAGACCATCTACCTTTCAGCGAAAGCTAATTTCTGCTTCCTGTCGCCTGCATTGTAGATGATGACTTTGTGTCCACAGAATAATGATACAGTCGGGACAACAGTGAGAAAGAAACGTAGGGCTGAGCTGTCCTTCCTTTAGCTCTAAGCTCTCTTTTCCTTTCCTGTGCTGTCTGTCTTGGGGGAATTAGCTCTCACTTCTCTCTATGCGAGTAATACAGTAGCATTAGCATTAGCTGACACACTGAAGCACTTTGTGTATTTACTGTGTGTTTTACACGTTACTGTCTCCATCCTCGCTCCGCTCCAACACTCGCTGAAGTGCCTCAAACAACAACTTGTAGATATTACAGTAATCAGTAACAGAGTACTGTTTCAGTAATTGTAGTTACAATTGTGCTGCTACTTGTGTTAACAAAATTCTCGCTTATCTGCACATGGGTGGGTAGAAAGAGGGAAAAACATCGAGCTTGCTGCTTTTCGTCCCGCTACAGGCCCGATGTCAAAGTAAGTGTAGATACGGTCACTACGTTAGTGCTTTAGAGCAATTAAAAATAAGAGTGCAACAGTAAAACTGCACCCAGGACAGAAGCGGCTACATCGTGCTGAACTTCATCAGGTAACAAAGGCAGCGGCGCAGCATCCATGTCAACCTGTTCGTGTTTGTGAAGGAGAATCGCTGTAATGGTCGCTCTGGTGTTCATCTTCACTGCGTGTGTTTGGTTTGAGTTCATGAACAAACTGAAAGAAAAATGGTGTGTGTGTGTGTGTGTGTGTGTTAGCATAAGGATTTTTGTTGGTGTGAGTCTGTAGTCTCAGATTTATATTGCGAGCTGGTAATTATGCAATATTTCAGATCATTTTACAGACAAAGACAAAAGTAATGTAACAGGTGTACTCTGGTAGAAACTAAGTAACATTTGGTTTAAAGAAAGGTAATGAGTAATGTGTAAACATTACTTTTTTTGAGTAATGAACCTAATGCTGGTTCCGGCCCACCTTTAACCCCTGAGTGTAGCAATATAAATGATGCATAAATTATTTGGTTTTGCTCGTTTCATCTCTCGGCATGTGATAAGCCCGGTGATGGAGGGTTGGCTTTTGTGTTGTTCTTTCCTACCCCCGTGACAAAAATGTGCCACAGGTGTCTCCACCAAACACCCAGCGATCGAACACCAACCTGTTAGTAAAGCAGCTACAGCCCCAGTGTCCCCAGCTACTTCACAGAGGTCCTAAAAGTAGAAAGAAAGAACCAATTAAATACTTTATTTTTTTATTGTTTTTTACTGATTACATCTGTACATCTCCAGGGGTGTCCATGTTATCTGATCCTGGTAAAGCTGGTATGATAATGTGTTTTTTAGTCGTGCAGGTATTTATGTTTTACCCTGTTTCCTTGCAGATCTGGAACATCAAACAGATGATAAAGTTAACACAAGAACATCTGGAGGCTCTCCTGGACAAGTTTGGCGGAGAACACAACCCTCCCTCCATTTATCTAGAGGTAAGATCGTTTCGGCTTATGTGAACAGAACTTGCTGTGACCCTCGTAAATGTCACCGGAGGTGTTGAAGCTGTCGAGTTCGTTCCTCACGGTTCTTCTTTGGCAGGCCTATGAGGAGTACACCAGCAAACTGGACGCTCTGCAGCAGAGGGAGCAGCAGCTGCTGGAGGCCATCGGGAACAGCGCAGACTTCTCCTGCTCTCAGTCTGCTATACCAGCCCTTCTGGAAGTCAAGATAGGAGGTTGTGGGGTTGGTGCAGGGCCTCAGGCTTTCCACTCGGCCCCAAACACTTTGGCTGTCCTGCAGACCCCCACTGACACAAGCCGAGCCAACCCTCGCTCCCCCCAGAAACCCATTGTCAGGGTCTTCCTGCCCAACAAACAGCGAACAGTGGTAAGTGAGAGCCACTCTCTCGGGATGCTTATGTGGATTTTAAGGCACGAAAGTCTGATTGACGAGGCTCCTGAGAGCCAGCGCTTCATTTGCAGCAGCAGATATTAGATGTTCAGAGTTGATACATCCTCTTGGTGAGCTTTGCATCTGGTCTTTCACAAACTGCTTTTTCATGTTGACTTAGTTTTTGCTGAGTTAATGATGATACAGTGTAACATGTAACGTGTTGCTGAGGAACACGTGATTATTATTTTGTCATAAAACCTCAGAGATGAAAGACGGCGTGCAGCCTTTTTGACTTTAGGTTGCACAAAGTGCTCGGTCTCACTCGCTGTCAGATGCTCACAGCAATACAAATCTAGTTTAAAATAAAACGTGGTTTTACATTAAGGCATAAATATTATAAGTCCCTTTATGTATTTGTATTTCCATTCAGTTGACAGTCGAGCATTGGGCAGATACTAACCCTGAATCTCAGAGTTAGTATGACTGTTGGATAAAAAGCACGTGGGTGTAGAAAAAAAAGTGCTTGTGTGAATGGCTGAATGAGGCAAGTTGTCTAAAGTGGTTGGAGTAGAAAAGCGCTGTATCAGAACCAGTCCATTTACTGTTCAACATCTTAATCCCTCACCAGAGAAATGCACTCGTGAAGCAGCAAAAAGGGTCCGACAGAAAATGATTGATGCACGTTGTTCAGTCTGACTCCTGCAGCTCATCCTGCACCGTGGCTGTAACAGCTGTGGTCGGTGGTGTCCATCATGGACATCAGCTTGGCTCTTCCTCTGAATTATTGTTGCACATTTGAGGAAACATCAGGCTTGATTTAAACATTGCATTCTTAACTTTGAAAAGTAAAATGTGACTAAAGATTATAGCCAAGAAGACGTACTGACTTGGTATTTATTACTAAGACAAACTCTTTGCTTATTATAAAAAAAAAAGTCCCGCAGATCGACTCAGACATGTACAGGACGGCTGCTTCTCTTTTCTGTCTCTGGCTAAACGTAGTTCTGTGTGACAGCGTCTGGCTCAGCTTGGGAGTAATTCGGAGCCTCTGTGACGGACTTGTGTGGTAAATCTGCATAAATCTGCACAAAACTTCAGTTTGTCATTAACCTCCTAGGACCTGCGTCCACATGTGTGGGCATCACATTTTGGTTTATTTAGACCAAAATACTCGATTTTGTTCTACAAGGGCCTGATATCCACTTACGAGGACTTTATGCTGCCACTGTTCTGTCGAAATTTCAAACGAATATCTTCATATGTGGCTCTGATTTTTCTTAGAAACAAAAATCGGGTAAAGAAAAAAAATCTGGTAATTCTTTGTTTTTACGTTCATCAGGTCCCAATCAGCCCAAATATCAAAGAGAGATTAAAAATGCTGCTGTGGAAGAGTTCGCGTCTTAGCAGGTTGAAGTGCATTCACAGGTCTGCTGTGGTTTAATGCAGACGAAGGCTGAGAGCATTAGTCTGACCCATAAAGTCAGAGTAAAGCTTCCAGCGAGGCCCAGCCCTGCACGTCAGCTGGATCGTCGGTGTTCTGGTTCTCTGAATGTTGACGATCGGCGGAGGTCGGGCGAGGTGACTGAATGTAATACTACTGTACTGCCAGCCTTCCCTGAAACGATGACCTGTGGCTGCTGGCTGAGAGATGTAAAACCCAAACCTGGTTACATCCTGTCATTTCTGTGTCAGTTCAGTGAGTGTCGTTGTGCTGCCTTCAGGTGCCGGCACGCTGTGGGATGACTGTGAGGGACTCCCTGAAGAAAGCCTTGATGATGCGAGGACTCATTCCAGAGTGCTGTGCAGTCTATAGGATACAGGATGGGTAGGTGTCTCACAGACTTATCAGTCGCTGTTTCGTGTCACTGCGTCTCCTCGCGTCTTCACGTCTTGACTCCTCCCAGCGAGGATGTTTGAGAAAGATGTGAAGAAGCTGCCAGATGAGAGGACTGTGCTAGTGATTTAATTCTTAGCATAAAACCTGAATTCACCAAGTTATTACAGTTTGTGTTTAAAGGGTCAACTTCACTGTGACATTATGTTAATTTTGCCTCTGCTGCCTCGTTACAGATATTATAAGAATGGACTGATGTCGATGTCACGTGCAGATTCCCTGTCTGGCAGTCAGGATACTTCCAATTTAATGTTTAGCCAGTTTTTTGCTTCAGGCCTTTATCTGCAGACATAAGAACTATAGTATGAAAATGAGTTTGGTAACAGCTGGGAATCTCTGTTTACTGCTTCTGAATGATTAAGAGAGCAAATAGCAGCTAACGGCTACTTCATGAAATGTGGTGAGTGTGAGCGCCTCTGTGAAAGCAGAAGTTTGAGTAGTTGGCTGCTCTGGTTCAGATGTGTGTGGCACAATGACCCACAGGATCGGACACCTCAGCGAATTTACCCCGAGGTCTGAATGTGCACCACTTTAAAACAAACCCAAGAACTACAGCTTAGACCAGCGGTCCCAACCTTCTTTAAGGTGTGGTGGATAAATGCGACAGAAAAATGATACGACCGAGACAAAAACGGGGCTCTTATTTAAATATAATAAGTGCGAATTCACTGTGTAGTTGTGTAACTTTATTCGCAGCGTCCTCCTGAAATGCGCCAACAACATTGAGAGCAACGTCCTCCTCTCTGCCCCTTAATGCCCTCTGGTCGCTATGGTAACGCGTAACTATTTCTTTCAAAATAAGACACAACTACAACACGGGAAAAGACCCGGGGAAACGGAGTTGACGATAAAAACCCTGAAAACCGTAAATTTCACACCCAAGCCTCAACTCTCGCGACCCGGCACCAAACGACTCACAGACCGGCGCCGGGTTGGGGACCGCTGGCTTAGACTATCGGCCTCAGTTAGCACTTTAAAGTTAACGTTCATAACAGTCTAACTAGAACAAGTGTGGCACGTTTGGAGGGGCTGCGAGGGAAAGCTTCTCTCTAAAAAGAACATGATCGCAGGTTTTTAAAGCTACATGTGGATAACCACAAAACTTCTGAAACCACGTCATACAGCATATCGGCACAAAGACCTCGTACCAGCTGTCAAGCACAGTAGTGGAGGGGCACAGCCGCTAGACCTGGGCACCTTCCAACAGTCGTACTTCCGATGGGAAGCATATTTGGCTGCAGACTGGAGCAGCCAGGCATCAAACCACCAACCTTCAAGATAGTAGAGGTTAAGCTCCACCTTCTGAGCTACAGCCACATAATGTGAGGCCATGTGTCTCACAGTCACAGGGATGGCGCAGTCCTCAGAGCGTACCTGCAGAGTGTTGTCAGATGGAGATGGTGTCCAACATGGGCCACACCTGAATGTGCTCCATCAGTGTGTCCAGTGCATCCTGGGTCCATGGCCGACTCTTCCGGCCCACTTGTCAAAAAAAAAAAAAAATACTATTTTCACATGCAAAGAAGTTATGTGCAATAATCAGAAATGGGCAGCAGTGCAGAGGATAAGCTAATCGCTAATCGCCACTTCTCCACCCCCGTTGCCATATTGCCTGTTTGACGCGCTGTTTTTGAAAGGAGGGAACCTCCTCTCACTGGATGCCTCCTGGCTGAGGTGTTCCAGGCATGTCCCAACAGGGCAGACTCTGGAGAGGCTACATCTCTCGGCTGGAGTTCCCCTGGATAAGCTGAAGGAGGTGGCTGGTGAGAGGGAGGTCTGGGCTTCTCTGATTAGGCTGCTGCCCCACGATCCGCCCCGGATATACGTGGGTGGATGGATGTATGGATGGAATGGCACATCGCTGCAAAATTAATGTCCGTAAACTTTAACTCAAACTAAAACAACGGCGTAAAGATGGGAGGGCCAAACTTTCTCCAGCACGATGTGACACACCGATAACACCATACACAAAATGCTGACGTCAGGTTATTGCTTCTGAAGGTTTTCATAGGCCTATGTGTTGGGACCGCCATATGGCCATCGGGTATTTTTGATGTAGGCAGTCTCATGTCATGTACAACAGTGCGGTGCACGTCCCACACTGTGGGGAGGGTTATACAGTGCGCACAGTATCATGAGTCCTGCTGTATGAAAGTGGAGCAGTAGGATGTTTGGGTTTTATGCTGGAAACCATCTTGGTTAGTTTTGCACCGCTCTTGGTGCGGTGGCTAAACCAACGGCTGGCTGAGGTGTAGACAGTTTCCGATACTCCCCACTTCCTGTTTCAGAGAGAAGAAGCCTATTGGCTGGGACACAGACATCTCGTGGCTGACGGGGGAGGAGCTGCATGTAGAAGTGTTGGAAAACGTGCCGCTCACCACACACAACTTTGTAAGTACTTTCAGAAAACCAAGTGTCCCGTAGTGAGAAGTGCTCAGTGCAGCCGGGGTGACTCTGGTCTGTATGTCTCTGTTTGATCCACAGGTGAGGAAGACTTTCTTTACACTGGCCTTCTGTGACTTCTGCAGAAAGTTGTTGTTCCAGGGTTTCCGCTGTCAGACCTGTGGCTACAAGTTCCACCAGCGGTGCAGCACTGAGGTTCCTCTCATGTGCGTCAACTACGACCAGCTCGAGTAAGTTCAGTGCAGGAAGGCGCACACTGCTGTGAGCAGTTTGGGACGATATAAGGATGTTATGGCTCCACGGGCTCGGCTCAGTGACCTGGTTCTCAGTGCTCGTGACACTGAGAACCTGCAGTTACGCGCTGACAGGCAGCTACGCTTGTATCTTTGTACATGTGCGACTGCCACGGGGAAGCAGGGATCAGGACGCTACCGGCAGTAAAAATGCGAACAGAACGAAGCTGTCGTCTGCACAGATCATCTTTATGGTAACAAAGAGCAGTGACATATTCAGGCTTTTAGCTTCAATGGGTTCAAAAAATGCCTCAGATTTTAAAGTGCAACAAAAAAGAGAGAAATGTCATGACTACATAAAAACGAGTTACTGTAAGCTCCAAAATTCACCGTTGGTTCCTGTGGTAGGCAAATGAAACAAGTGTGCTCAGTGTGAAAGGATGTGTGTTAGTGCTTGTTTGGCCTGTTTAAGGTTACGTTCCAACTGTGCCTGAATCGTATGTTTTCGGCGTGTCCTCTGCAGCTTGCTACTAGTGTCCAAGTTCTTTGAGCACCACCCGTTCACCCAGGAGGAGGTCTCCTCAGAGGGAACCACGCCTGTGTCTGAGGCCTGTCCATCACTTCCCCCATCCGACTCCACTGGGTGAGTCCTCCAGCCTCATACCGAAAAGGAGACGTTTTCCTTCTGTTTCCTCAGCAGAACATTTATAGTCTGAAGTTTGAAGTACTAACCAGCGGCTTTCTGTCCAGATCAATATGCCACGCCACTGTGTCACCGTCCAAATCCATACCCATCCCGCCCAGTTTCCGGCCCAACGAGGAGGACCACCGCAACCAGTTTGGCCAGCGGGACCGTTCATCCTCTGCCCCCAATGTGCACATCAACACCATCGAACCGGTCAACATCGATGTGAGTCCGCTGGACTCGCTGACACATGAGAATTTTCTTTCATTCTATGTTTTTCATCACCTCACACAGCGCCCTATGGTTTCACGTCAACGTCCAGCACGTGTTACAGACGTTACACTTGTGTTACAGTTGTGTTACAGACGTTACACTTGTGTTACAGTTGTGTTACAGACGTTACACTTGTGTTGCAGACGTGTTACAGACGTGTTGCAGACGTGTTACAGTTGTGTTACAGACGTGTTGCAGACGTGTTACAGTTGTGTTACAGACGTGTTGCAGACGTGTTACAGTTGTGTTGCAGACGTGTTACAGTTGTGTTACAGACGTGTTGCAGACGTGTTGCAGACGTGTTACAGACGTGTTGTGTTACAGGTTACAGTGTGTTACAGACGTCAGGTGTTACGTGTTACAGACGTGTTGCAGACGTGTTACAGACGTGTTACAGTTGTGTTACAGTTGTGTTACAGACGTTACAGATGTGTTACAGACGTTACAGTTGTGTTACAGACGTGTTGCAGACGTGTTACAGTTGTGTTGCAGACGTGTTACAGTTGTGTTACAGACGTTACAGATGTGTTACAGACGTTACAGATGTGTTACAGTTGTGTTACAGATGACCAGAATGATGTAGTCTCTTATTTCTTTTGTGCTCTTGACATTAAAATAACAGTTAATACACTTCCTTAAGTTGACAACAGAAGCTCTCGATCGTCCACAGACGGTGGAGCCGCTCTGATGGACAAACTCTTCCATAACACTTTGATAACACTTTATTATTTACTTTCTTTATTAGCAGTATTTTACTTCCCTGAACAACAGCCCATCCAATCCACACATGCAAAGAAATCAAACCATAGATGTCCAAATATTATATGTAATGAGGAGAAATGACACAGGGAAGAATTATTGAACATGCTCGCTGAAATTTATTTAATACAAATGTAAAAACTGTCGCCGATGACAACGACAGCTTCTGTACAGAGAGACGAATCGCACGATTTCTCAGGTGTGATTTCGACCCAGTCTTTAACACCAACAGTCTCCACATCCTCGGGGCTCCGTGGGCCCCGTCTTTAGTTCTTTCCGTGGAGTTTCAGTGGGATCGGGTCACGTGATTGGCTGGACAATTCTAACATTTCTCTGAACCCGATTAAGTTTCCTCAGCTGTTTTCGGGGGATCGTCGTCTTGCTGAAACGTCCACCCTTATTTCATCTTCCTCATGCCGGTGGATGGCTGCAGATTTTTATCAAGATGTATTCAACTTTCAATTTTATTTCTACAGCGCTAAATCCCAACAACAGTCGCCTCAAGGCGTTTTATATTGTAAGGTAGATCCTACAATAATACATACAGAGAAACCCCAACAATCATATGACCCCCTATGAGCAGCACTTTGGCGACAGTGGGAAGGAAAAACTCCCTTTTAACAGGAAGAAACCTCCGACAGCACCAGGCTCAGGGAGGGGCGGGGCCATCTGCTGTGATTGGTTGGGCAGAGAGAAGGTTATGTACTATTTGTAACTGGAACCATCAGTATGTTTGGCAACACTTGAGCAGTTTTTACCCACCATGAGATGTTTCTTGGGCGACTGGTTGGTAATGAGACACATTTTACGGGCCATCAGTTGTAAATGAACCAGCTGACATTAATTTGCTTTAATTGGCAGGACTTTTAATTACTGATAGATCTCAGCTGCTGTTCCAGGTCTTTTCTTCATGTGTTCAATCGTTTCTCATTATTACACATAACTTAATTGTTGGACACCTGTGCTTTGATTTCTGTGCACGTGAGGATTGGATGGATTGTTACCAACATCTGGTGAGGATTTCATGTCATTTACACATTTAATTCAAAAGTGGGTGACGTGTTCAATACTTTACCCTCTGTAAATACCATCAGTTTGCACTCGGAGCAAATCCTCATGTATTTATGTTAAGTGTGTTTTTCACCCTCTGCAGCTGCTGAAATCACCGTGTTCATGTTGGTTTTGCTTTCTTTATTTCAGGACCTGATTCGAGATCAGGGCTTACCGAGGTCAGATGGAGGTGAGCATCCAAGAGGGAAACTTCACACTCAACTTTTTCCCCATCATCTCACATCTCTGTGCTCTTGAATTTTTTTTATCTGTGTGTGTGTGTGTGCGCGTTCAGTCCTGTGCCTTGCCAGTCACAGAGCCGTGAGCTGAAGGTCAGGGGTTTTCGAGGATGAGCGGTCTGAGTGCTCCTCCAGGCTCGGCTCCTCCTCACGTGAAACTAAAACATTTGACAAATTTTCCAAAAGTTCCAACAAAGCAGCTCTGCAGCAAAGCATCGCAATACATGCACAGTGTTGAACAATGTTTCCAGTGTAGTCTGGGTGTGCAGTAAGATACAGAGGGGACACCTGTGACACGTGTGTGGACTGTTTTACATTCAGTGTGGCAGTTTTAGATCCCGAAACTAATCTTGCAATTCAATTCAGTTTAATTTATACAGCTCGAAATCACAACAGTCGCTATGAGCAAGCACTTTGGCGACAGCGGGAGGGAAAAACTCCCTGTTAACAGGGGCGTGGCCATCTGCTGCAACCGGTTTGGGTGAGAGAAGGAAGACCGGATAAAGACATGCTGGGGAATGAGTGGTGTTCAGTTATTAGTCGACTACAAAGTGCAGTCAAAGGCTGCATCCCAATTCAGGGTCTGCAGCCTTAAAGTACGCAGCCTCAACGATCCTCGAGGGCCGCGTACTCAAAGACCGCTAAGGCCGGAAGTGCGAGGCTTGTGAGATGGGGCGGTCTAGCCTCCGTTGCGCTGCCCAGGTTGCCTAGCAACCATGATACTAACAGCTGGAAACGTGTCATACAGCTTTGTTTGACAGAAATGAAATGAAATCTTTTGTTCATGTGTTTGTTTGTTTCTACATGAGCTTTGATCATTCTCTGTGAGATTAAGCTCAGCTATTGACCGAAGTATATTTTAAAGTAAAGGCTTTAAAACCAAGTTAGCACAAACGTCACTAATGTCACATGACTTTGCCGACATGTTGCCAACAGTAATGTTTAATGTTCTTCGTTATTAAACATTTGCACATAAATAAGTGACATCATATCCAGGACTTACTTAAAGTTTACTCTTCGGCCGCCCCTCATCCGCCGTTTTTTTTTTTTTCCCGGCAAAATTATCCACACCCACCGCCGCGCTATGCATTCTGGGATATGTTGGGCCACGAAGTCTACACCGCCATGTCCTTAAAATTCAGGGAAATGAAGGACGCATTTGAGGGCCGCATTTCGAGCAGCCTTTGAATTGGGACAGCCTTCGTCGCGTCGCGGTGACGTAATCGGCCTTAAAATGCGGCCTTTAAGGCTGCAGACCCTGAGTTGGGATACAGCCGTTGTCTTAAGTTGTCAGAGTAAGCAGTCACGTGAAGCTAGCTACAAACATCATAAGCTAACCCAGTGTTTCAGCTACACATGGACACGAAAGCTGGAAAAAAAAATTCTGTGATAAAAGAAACGATACATGAAATATATGCTGGAAGTAACACACGGCTGCAGACAGTGTGTGTCAGAGCGCTGTGCAGTAGTTTAGTATTAAAAACCTGTGAGTGTGTGTGCGTGCGTGTGTGTACATGATCATATAATCCTTGCGGTGATTTTATTGTGTTCATTACTTCTGACTGCAGACAGGTTTTGGTTTTGCTGCATGAGAGCAAACATCTGCTGACGTTTACTGCAGGTGTACACGTCATCCAAAAACTCCACAACAGTCGATCTCTAACCTGGACCCTCACAGTGTGAGTTACCATGGAGATGGACTTCATGGCAGAGGACGCCCAGAGCAAACCCTGGAGTCACCCTGACTGACAGCTTATAGCTCTGACTGTGTAGCCATAGTTAGAGCCTAGTTAGTGACAGGGGCGTGTTGAGTAGCAGTGATGGTCTGTCTGTCTCTCTTTGCCCTGCAGCCCCCCCGACCCACCCCGCCTGCTGCTTGAGGAAGCACCGAACACGGACCTCAAGCCCCCTCCTATACTCCTATCCCAATGACATAGTGTTTGATTTTGAGCCCGAGCCCGTTTTCCGAGGTAGTTAGGCCTCTGTGTTCCTGTGTTGTTCTTCCATTCACATACACACCCCACCCACTCACATCTCCACCTCAACCCCGTCTCCCTCCACACTCTCTCTGTTCTTTGCCTTTATGCCCTCACATGCTCCTTCAGCCATACACCTCACGGCGCAGTACCACACGCTGCCTGCTCGATGGATAGCGGTTTCTTTGATGGAGGCGCTCTTGTGTTCAGTCATTGGTTAAAAAGAATGACATGTTAATCAGAAAGCCCGCCTCTTGATGTTCACTGCAGCATCTTGTTAGCAGGCTGTTAAAATCAGTTTATAGCTGTTACATAATAACAAAGAGTCGTGTTTTTCTTTTAATATGTCGTCTTTGTAAGATTTCCAAAGCCTCCCAGCTTCATAACTGAATCATGATTTTGGTCGACATGAACGATCCATTGATTCGTTTGCAGGATTTTTTTTTTTTTCCATTTCTATTCAGACATCACAGCTAACTGTAGCATCTGTAGCTATTGGATATGAAGCCATTGCCTGAACTGGCAGCTGTTTGAAATCAAAAAGGTGTTTGCTAGTGTCACAAAAATAAAACGCCTCCATGCTGCAGAGTGCCAGAGTACGGCGTAGTCTGTGCACTCCTTTGACTGACCAAACAGGTCTGCACACTGATTGGCTCGGATTAGGAGTAGCAGTTTTTTTTGCTTTTACTGTGAAGTCTGTTTTCAAACGAGCCGGCTGAAAATGTCGGGACGACATTTTTGTAGTTCTTTCAGGACCTCTGAATCTTAACTTCAGGACCCGTTCAGAGAAAAAAAGATGATTACGTATTCGAACCTTTGTTTTGGAAGAATCAGTGACCAAAAATATCAAATCTGTGACACAAACAGCTGCCATCCAGCCAAGCACACCCTCACCTGTCCTGTACATGTGAACACAGACACACACAGACAGACACACACACACACAGACAGACAGACAGACACACACACACACACACACACACACACACACACACAGACACACACCACAACACACACAGACACACACACACAGACACACACACACACAACACACACACACAGACACACACACACCAGACACACACACACACAGACACACACACACAGACACACACACACACACAGACACACACACACACACACACACACACACACACAGACACACACACACAGACACACACACACACAGACACAGACACACACAGACACACACACACAGACACAGACACACACACACACACACACACACAGACACACACACACACACACACACAACACAACACACACAGACACACACACACAGACACACACACACACAGACACACACACAGACACACACACACACACAGACACACACACAGACACACACACACACACAGACACACACACACAGACACACACACACAGACACACACACACACACACACACACACACAGACACACACACTGATGCTGAAGCCTCAGTCTCTCTCTCTCTTTTTCCCTTCCTTCCTTCTCTGTTTTTGACAAGTCCCTCACTTCCAGACCTTTACCTTTCACTACTCTTTATCTTCTTCTCTAGGTTCGACCACAGGTCTGTCGGCCACACCTCCCGCCTCTCTGCCTGGCTCTCTGACCAACGTCAAGGTCCCACAGAAGTCGCCGTGCCCGCAGAGGGAGCGCAAATCGTCCTCCTCGTCCGAGGACCGCAATAAGATGGTGAGTGGCGTCCGCAGATGCTAGCGTTGTGCTGCGTCTCATTGTGTGCTCGTGCTGATCGAGTGTCCTGTATGACAGAAAACCCTGGGGAGGCGGGACTCCAGTGATGACTGGGAAATCCCGGAAGGTCAGATTACTCTGGGTCAGAGGATAGGCTCTGGATCTTTTGGAACTGTCTTCAAGGGAAAGTGGCACGGTAAGACTGCGCCGCGCCGTCACACCCCACGCAAAGACACTTACAGAGCGCCGTCTACATGCCGCAGCCTGCCTGCTGATCGTGTTCATACTTTGATGAGCAGCGTGTACACGCCGCTTCCTGCATCAGTTAGTCCTGCAGGACCAGCAAGCGGGTTAAGGTCAGGGACGAGCTTGAGTCGGCGCTCTTTCTGGGATGGAACAGTTTCCATCAGCTCGGGGTGAACAAACTGGATAAACCTGCTCGCCACAGATAAAAATGAAATTAGTTTTAATTGAAAAAGATTTGGAATAAATAAAGCAGATTAGAGCTTCGTGCGTTAGCTTTTCCTTGTTAAATCTCAGCAGTTAGTAAATTAGCGTCATCTTTAATCATTTTGTCCCCGGGCTCTCAGGTGATGTGGCAGTGAAGATGCTGAATGTCACCGCTCCCACGCCACAGCAGCTTCAGGCATTCAAGAATGAAGTGGGAGTCCTCAGGTAAGCCCCGCCTTCTCCTTTGTGCACCAGCGCGCTGCTGCACGCTGCAGAACGTCACCTTACTGATGCAGCCTGCGTCATCAGTGTAAACCTGCTGTAATTTGAACACGTTGTGTGTTTGCACCAGGAAAACGCGTCACGTGAACATCTTGCTCTTCATGGGCTACACCACCAAGCCCCAGCTGGCCATCGTGACCCAGTGGTGTGAAGGCTCCAGTCTGTACCACCACCTGCACATCATCGAGACCAAGTTCGAGATGATCAAACTGATCGACATAGCCCGACAGACCGCTCAGGGCATGGAGTGAGTAACCTTTCAAACATCGAGCGCTGTCAAATTCCACAACGAGCGCCGTCGCTCTAATGACGCTTTGCTCTTCACCTTCAGTTACCTGCATGCCAAGTCCATCATACACAGAGATCTGAAGAGCAACAGTATCCTTTTGAATCAAAGTCATCGGGTGATAAGCTGGACTTGGTGCTACAGGAGCGTAAGCAGGACCAAGAAATGCTTCGTTTCAGGGGAGAATAAGAAGAGCACACCTTACAGCAGGTATGGACCTTCCCACGACCCCGGCCCAGACAGAGGCACCAATATATCAAATATGATATTATTACCGTTCATCCACCAAAGTGATGGGATCAGAATGCAGTGATTGTCCAATACTGCGTAATACTACAACACTGCAAGACACACGATACAGAACATCTGGAACTGAAGAAGAAACGCTGCTTATTGATTCGCTGGATTGTAGCATCCAGCATGTGTGTCGTTATTGTCACGTCAGTGTTTTGGTTTTTTGTCATTTCATGAAGGATCAAAATGGAAAATCCATACTTGGAATATGAAGGAGCTCAGAGTGTTTCCTTGACCCGTTGTCCCAGATATTTTCCTCCATGAGGACCTAACAGTGAAGATCGGGGACTTTGGTCTGGCTACGGTGAAGTCCCGCTGGAGTGGCTCCCACCAGTTTGAACAGCTTTCAGGCTCTATTCTTTGGATGGTCGGTGTTCGTGTCCTACGAGACACTTTTTGTTTTCCTGTCATTCTTTCCATCTGATGTGTGCTCTCTAAATGTGCTCATGCGTTAAACCAGGCGTGCTGAGGCTAATACAGCAAGAGTGAGAACGCAGAAGTGATCAGAAATGCAGATCAGCCCATTCTCACCCTGTTTGGGGGAACAGAGTATTGCAGAGAATATGAAAAAGAAGCGCCCCCCTTTCATTGCCATAATATTGATTTGAGTCTTTGTAGACGTTTCCTTTCAGTTCAACTGAACAAGCAGTGAATTATTGACGGTCGGTGTAACTTGTGCTTCGTCAGGCTCCAGAGGTAATCCGGCTGCAGGACAAGAACCCCTACAGCTTCCAGTCGGACGTGTACGCCTTTGGCATCGTACTCTACGAGCTGATGTCAGGAGCGCTGCCCTACTCCAACATCAACAACAGAGACCAGGTGAGTGGATGTGATCGCGGCCCCACTGCTGCACTCGCTCTAACAGATACTCCAGACTCCGCCCCGTTTTACCTCTGGTTCAGCAGTCAGACTGAACCATGTTTTTGCTGCTTTAACAGGTGCATTTCCCCCAGTGTGGCATTAACATGTTAAATGGCTCTTCTGTCGGGTTTTCTACTCTGAGCACGTTACACACCATGCCTCATTCATCCATTGATAAAAGTACTTTTCTCTCTACGCGTGTGCTTTCTACTTGGGGTTGTTATCTTGCCCGAGGATATTGGGCGTGCAGAAGGAGGGATTGAACCCCAGATGTTTCATGTTTGGGGAATTTCAGCCAGTTTTATTCAAAGTTTCCATTTTCAGAGGCTGAAAATAAATTGGACTGAACATCATTTTAATAATGTTTGGAATATAAATGGTGTTTGCTGTTGAATGGGTGAGATGCTCTGCCAGGCCTTTAGCTGGGTTTGTCTTTGGTTCACTATCCATCCACTGTGAGGCGCTGTTTGCCCGGTCTCACATTCGGCTGAAGCTGAGCAGAGTAAAGTCCTGTGCACTTCACACTTCATGTGCATGCACGTACCGTCACATGGTCTCAGCAGGTGATGTGTTACACGTTGAATCGTGAGCTGTTGCTTTCTTTCTCCATATTTGTTTCCCATCTTTCTGCTGCACCGTGTTTTCAGGCACCAGGAGGTTTTCCATATCCAAAGAGTTCTGTGATCCTCTTTAGCTGTGTCGATGTTGCAGAGCTGGCTGACGCATTTTGTCTTTGGACCTCATATTTAAAGTTTGAGACCAAATTTGAACAAATGCCAAAAACACTTGGAATGAGCTGCAGATCTTTGATTTGTCATTAATGATGAGGGAGCAGAGCTCAGAAGTTTGTTTCACGACTCGTTCTTTCTGTTCCATAGATCATATTCATGGTGGGACGAGGTTACCTGTCCCCTGACCTCAGCAAGGTCCGCAGCAACTGTCCAAAGGCCATGAAGAGGCTGATGGCTGACTGCCTGAAGAAGAAGAGAGAGGAGCGGCCTCTCTTCCCTCAGGTGAGAGCCCACACTGACGCTTTTATACATTGAGAGGAAATAATATTTACAGTAAACTCTTTTTCTTTTTTTTCCCAAACCCTTTCAAAAATCGCTGAGACATGGAGACAAGAGAGTCTCACACTCATCACATCCCAGCTTCTCTTTAAACTCTAATGGTCTTAATATTTGTTATTTAACAACAGTTTAGTGACGTTTCTCTCCATCAAATCCGACTCTTGCTGTCCTGGTGTTCACCTCCAAAGCCCTTCAGCTAGTGGCAGCAAACAGACATGGATCGTTTCAGGGTGGAAGCTCTGAGTTTGGTGCAGAGTGAGCGTTCGCCCTTACTCCCTAATTTGCAGCATTTTGGATTTCTTTACTTCCTTCTTTCTGACAGTTGTTGCGTTGCCACCGATGGCCTCAGCAAGCAGCTGCAACCACAGAAAGCAGCTGAGCTGATGTAGTCGCTCGTTTCTTGTGTTGTGAGGGAATGGTGATCATACGATCCTAACTAACGACCCCTGTGGCTTTGTTGTGTATTTCTTCAGATTTTGGCATCCATTGAGCTGCTGGCTCGCTCGTTACCCAAAATCCACCGCAGCGCCTCGGAGCCTTCGTTAAACCGAGCTGGTTTTCAGACAGAGGACTTCAGTTTGTATGCCTGCGCCTCACCTAAAACCCCCATCCAGGCCGGCGGTTACGGTGAGTTATTTTTCTTGGGAACATCGCTTCTCAGCATCTGGAGCGGCGAAATCTGGAGCTGACAGTAACAGGAAGTGGTAGTGTAGCTTTTTCATCACATACACCATAACTACCTCTAATGAATGTGCCTTATCCCCAAACCATGCTTAGTGCATCACATCTCATCTTTCAGTGTGTTGGCTTGCAGAATATTTCTTGGAACTGAATTTCCACTTACCGTATTCTCGGCACTATGAGGTGCACTTAAAATCCTTTAATTTCTCAAAAATCGAATGTGCGCCTTATGTATGAATTCTGGTTGTGTTTACTGACCTCGAACTGATTTTATGAGGTACACGGCGCTCAAAAATCTGTCAAAATGTTTTAGTACGACTTTGGTAGCTACGAAGCCGCAGCGCCTGATGGATTGTTGGAGCGTTACAGCTACTGTAGTCAGGAACCTCGCAGAGGAATCTGGGTCCTAAACTCCATTAGCTTCAGGTCCCAAAGTTAAACGAACACTGCGGCATCACTGAGAGTTAAAAACTGTCTAAATTCTTCCATCTGTAATAAAATGATCAGCGTTGCTGCTTTACCAGGTGTAACAATTAAGTTTAACATCCAGGCATCCATGAAAACAGAATTTATGACATTTAACAGATTGTGGCTGCATTATCTCAGTTGTTCTCTGGCTGAAGTTTGGTCCTTTTACAGCATCCTGCCATGCGATTACATTTGTTCCTGACCACCGAGAACACTCACGTTAACTTTTATCGAGTGGAAAAAAAGTTAGCTTGTTTATATTATGCTAACATAGCTGTGTCGCTAGCGGTCACGTAGCACATCATTATATAGCAGCTAGCCCAACTTCAGTAACCCTACAAACGTCACTGCTGTTTAGTTTTCTGTCTTCATTTATGTTGGAAGTGATAGCAGAGCTGTACGTTTGAATTTGTTTCCAAAACCCCGCAGTCAAGACATGCTATATTGTATTTAGATAGAAGCTAGCGAGCTAACTTCCTGCTAACTTCTAACTCTGTTAAATGTCAGAAATTCTGTTTTCATGGATGCCTGGATGTTAAACTCAGTTGTTACACCTGGTAGAGCAGAACGCTGATCATTTTATTAAAGATGAAAGACTTTAGACAGTTTTTCAACTCTCAGTAATGCCACAGTGATCGTTTGACTTTGGGACCTGCAGCGGAGTTTAGACCCAAACACAGCTAGTGACGTCAGACTTAAAGACCAGATCAGGTGTTGTTATTTGTGTGACAGAGTGTCAGGAGTTATTTTCCCTTTAAGTGTTAAAGTTGTTGGATATTCTCAGATTTGTGCATAAAAACAAATAAAAAGAATAGAAGGTTTTCTTGAGGCCCTCGCTCGTGGTACTTTGGTACTTGCATCGGTGCAGTAGTCCTTATATTTCCCACACTTGTATCGGGCCTTTGTCACTGGATGAGTGTTGTTTCATAAAGTAAACTTCATTGGAAACGCGCTAACTTCATATTTCCACCTGAAACTTGACACTGCTGTCCACACACCGTCTGTCTTTGTTTCTTTATCTTTTCAGGGGAGTTTTCAGCATTTAAATAAATGGCGGCAGATACCAGCAGTCCATCCCTCGTCACTCCTCAACAGTCTTGTGTCCCTGCGGTGGATTCATTCATTACTGGGAAAAAAAAGAAAAAGGAAAAAACCAATGCGCCGTTTTCTTCCTCCGTCACCTCGAAGAAGGCAGCCTCACTAACAAGAAGCCGTCCATTGGGCAGACGGCAGCAACACACACAAACTAATCAGGAACGACGGAACAACAACAAAGCGAAGACAAAGATATCCGTACCAAACCGCTTTGAGGAAGACGTGGAAGTAATCGCCTTGCCTGATGGATCCAAGTTGACCCACAGAGGAAAACCATTTAAAGGAGAGCTTTGGATGCGAGTTGTCCGGTCGCTGTTGTGCCGGTGAGGAGGAGCTGGGCGTTAGCCGTGCTGCTGAGCAGAGAACGGGCCTGCGGACCGAGAGGAGGCTTCACGCCGTCAGCTGCTGGAAGGCGTTGGCGCTTCCCTGGGATGGGCTGGAGGAGAAGGATTCTGAAGGACGATGACTTGAAAGAGAAATCTGTTTGTATTTTTTCCATTTGTGTTTTCCATTTTAGCTAGCAGCTGCTGGGAATACTTTCTGTCTTGGATCTTTTAGCCGTCTCTTGTTTTCGGTGTTTATGGAGTTTGTCTCCAACATGGCAGCTGCTCTCTGCCAGCGAGGCTCTCTCTGGGTTTAATGGCAGGACAGCAAAAGATCTGCACCTCAACCATGTTCTCCACTTTAAAAGCTTTCCCCCTTTCAAAGGATATTGTGGTCATGTGACAAGCAGCAGAAATGATTGTCTCCAAGGTAACATCAGGTCACAGACAGCTGAAGGTTTCAGCTGGACCTGCTCGTGGGGTTTCTTTGCTTCTCATCGTTTTCACAGATTGATTTTCACACTGCGTGCACGTTGTGGCGTTGCTTTCTTCTCTTCCTGTGGGACCACAAAGCTTCAACGTTGCACTTACACAGACGTGTTACCGGCTGTTGATCAAGAGTTCTGCGGCTTTGACAGTTCTGGAAATGTCCTTTAATCCCGCCTTTTACATTCTCTGTACTTTCATGTTATTCCAGGTTTAGATCTGTTCTGCTCTTTGTTTGCCTTCTTCCTGTACAGGCAGGCCTGCACATACTGACTTATTTATGTGACTTTTTTATGGGTTTATTTTCAGGCTTTTATTTTTTTTTTTACAACCCTTGTTTTCGTCATGTGACTCATATTTGCACTTTGATGGATTGAAGCGACCGAGCGACTCGCCTTTTTGTTTTTGTTTCTTTGTTTGTAATTGAAGAAGCGAGCAGATGGCTCAGACTTCCAGTGAAGCTGCCCTCCGCAGGTGCAGGACTGTAAATATTCATTCGAGGACCGCGTGACGAGCCTGCAGACCTGCCGGCGTACCGCCCTGACGAGGCTCCTGGCCTCACCTCGTGGACTGAGAGCGCGCAGCTAGTTGACGTGTCAGACCGAGCGCCGACAGGGCGGGTCTTCGCATCCACGTGTGTCTTTCTATCACGAATGATGGAAACGGACGTTCCCCGTCACCTCCATGGCTTCCTTTCCAGTGAGTTTGTATTTTTAACGTTGTTTCAGTCGCCGCATCGTGAGATGATCAGCTTTAGAAAATCGAACTAAACCGGCGCTGTCACGTAGCCAACAAACGTTAGATTCAAAGTATCTGCAGAAAAAGAGAACCTGCCAGGCTTCAGCCCACAGCTGGGGTCTTACTCCACGTGAGTGGCACACAGCCGAGGGGGTCGTGGAGTCTGCGAGAGTACAAATGTCCACCGGCTGTCGGCGTCGCGATCTGCTGTCTGTTTTTGTACGGCTGCAGGCGTGGGCTTTGTTTGTTTCCCAGTTTATTACAGAGAGACCGCGTTGTTGTCACCACTTCGACTAGCTGGACGCTGCCTTTAGTAAAGTCGGGCACGGACTAAACGTGACGGCAGACGAATTGAAAGACTTGATCTGATAAAAGGGAAAGCTTTTCTTGCCTGGTTACCCTGGACGTGGCTGTTTGCTAACACGTCAGCCAAAGCTGCAGGAACAGGATGCATCGCTGCACACAGCATTTGTCTGTTGTAGTTACGTCATCAATTCAAGGATTACAGAATTCTTCTGACAGCTCTGCGCATGCACGGTGTCGTCCAGCGTCACATCTCGGAGCGAGAAACTGTTCGATTGAAAGGTTCGAATTCAGTGTCCGGCGCTCAAAACTTCCAGAAGCCCAGAACCAATCGTCGATCAGTAACGAGCGTTTATTTACCCGCCTCCGTCTGCCGCTTTTACAGATGAAATGTAGAGGTCATGTTGGCCTTTTTAATAAATGACATATCGTCCTGTCACTGGGAGGCTTTGCTGCTACCCACGGCTCCCTCAAGCTTTGCCCACAGCTGCCATTTTCTCCAGAGGACTCTTTAAAGTGTCCTGTGCAGGTGATTGTGTCACCAGAGCGATCACTGCTGACAGAGTCGTGAAGATGATGAAGAAGCTCTGCTGTCAGTGAAACCAAACTCGGGTACCCACAGAGCAGGACGAGGTCCGTCTGAATGCTCCAGTTATCAGTTTGAAGCTTCGTCACGCTGCACAGAGACGTGGACGGGTAGAGTCCAGTGGTTGCCTTTGAGTCTCGTGCGTCGCGTTACATAAGCTAAAGAGTTACTTCGCTTCCACAGTCCTACATTTCTTACGGAGGCACTAAAATCCCAACATCAGACTTTTTACAACTTTCCACTCGTCTTGTTCACATGATGCACAGGAGCTGCATCTCACGGTCTTATTCGGTCACACAGAAGTGAAACTGTCCAAAGTTTGGATGGAAAAGTTCTGAGTTCACGACTTAAAGCACCAGAGACATCGGGCCATGGAGATGCTGATGAAGACCGAGTGATGCAGCACCTGAGCTTAGCCTCACCGCACCGAGCACACAGCCGCCTTCCACAGGCAGTGTTAACATCCTCCTTCCTGCCGCCTGCAGAGCTGGGATCGGCTCACGTGATTGAATTCAAGGAAGGAAATTGACGTGTTTTTCAAGAGTGCGCCGTTTGTTTTCCTTGGAGATGGTTATTTTCTATAGGAACACCATGTACATCTGCTCTAGCTTCATAGATCCTGCAGGAGCAAACACTGGACTCTGCGTCTCGTGCAGCGCTTTCCGTTAGCCGCCTTCTTCTACTTTCACGTTCCTTTCTTCTTAAACATTCCCTCCCTCACTCCTTGCCTGCACCTTAGACCCAACAATTCCTTTCAACCGAGTACTATCATGTAAAACTTTAGATTTGTTTGGTTTTTTCACCTGTAAATATTGTACAAAGGAAATACTGTCAGTTTGCTAGGAGGCATGGAGACAACAACTGTACAAACAAAGTACAACACGTTCAAAATAAAGTCACAAAGATTAAAAGACATTTTCATAGGCAAACAAATGTTTGAGTGTAAAAATATTTAAGGGTGTATCATACAGAGAAAGAGCTTAATGTATTTGTTGTGAATATAAAAAACTGATATATTAAAGAAATGCATGAAAACTTTACCTGGTTCTCTGCGTGTGATGTGCTGTGACATCCACAAGGTGGCAGCGTGACCATGACTGTACATCCCACAGATCAATACCAAATCATAATAAGCTTTCATCAATGCGTTACTTGACCTGTGAAGTCCATAAATGCACATGAATGAAAGCTTGGAGCCTCAGCCAGCAGCTGCATCTCTGAGAAATCACTTGTTCAAAATGATTCAACCCTTTTCCTAAAGCTCCGCCTTCAGTTTCAGTTAATATGTTTAATACACAATAAATATGGGCAGTGAGCGCGGTTCTCAGAAGGCCACGACTCTACGATGCATCCCCGTGCCTGAGCTCGACCTTAAACGTCTGCATCACTAACATGGATCCATAAAACCCTGATGAACATTTTTCTGCAGAATAATTACTTCTACGTTTTGATGCTTTGAGCAACAAAAGAAAATACACCGTCTGTGTGCTGTGGTGTGTTTTACAAAAGAAAGGTGCTGAAAAATCTCAGTCTCATTACTCAACATTGTGAGTAATGCTACATCTTTTCATGAATGTAGGATTAATATTATGTTGCAATTCTTCAGGCAGAGAGGAGTGCAACCAGGTGACGGTGTTCATGCAGAGTGCAGCCGGTTCCAGGTTTAACCCCCTTTTGTTGTTCCACCACATCCCAGTGACTGCTGGTGACCGTGAGGGCCGTCTGAGTACAGTGACCTCACGGTCATGTTAATGAAACAAGTTTGAGATCATTTGAGATTTCGATTGTTTTGCTGCCGATAGACTCATTAGATCAACTCCAGGCCTCGAGGGCCGGCGTCCTGCAGGGTTTAGATGTGTCAGCTGATTCAAATGGCTACATGACCTCCTCAACATGTCCTGATGTTCTCCAGAGGCCTGGGAATGTGTGTGTGTTGACTCAGGGTGAGATCTAAAACCTGCAGGAGTTGGACACGCCTGCTGTAGAAACTTGCATTAACAGGTGTACATAACAAATCTGTTGGTGAGTGTATTAAAAAAAGAACAAAAGACAAAGCACAAAATGAAAAAAATGGTTCGTTTCAGTCAGTTCAGCTCTGGAGGAAAGTTCATGGATCCAGTGACATGTTGGTGGGACTGTGGAGGATACTGGGACTCATACTGGGACAGTGAGCGCTCATGATGTGCTGTGGTGAGCCTCAGTGGCAGCAGTCGAAAGAAGAAATGTGTCAACAGAGTTAGGAGTGACTGCAGTTCAGGAGGAAGAACAGGGCGTTAATAATTGGAAGGTTGGGGGTTTGATTCCAGTCTGCATGCCTTATCCTTGGGCAAGATACTAATGTGTGAATGTTAGAAAAGATGGAGGGAGGGGTTTGAGCTGATGGGGTATTCTCCGATTGCCTTTCTTGTAAACGTCGTAGAACAACAGTGTGTCGCGCATCGCCGGCCAGTGACCACGACTCGTATCTGTGTCCATAAAAGTGATTCTCTTCCCTCCAACCCCCTGCACGTCCACTTCACTCTTCCCTCCATAAACCTCTGAGATCTTCCCCCTTTTCCTCCCAGTACCTGCACAATACATATCTTCTTATCCACCTTACCTCCTGTCACATGTCAGAACCACCTCAGCCTAACTTTGTCTCCTGCCTGCCCAGCCTGAGCGGTTCCTTTGACGTACTCATTTCTAATCCTGCCCATCCTGCTCGCTCATAATATCTTCAGCTCCGCCTCCTGTCCTTTTGTCAGTGTTTCCAAACTGTCGCTAACACTGACTGAAGACAAACCACCACCTTCAGTAGTGACAGCAGTTGAGAGGAGCTCATTACCTCCAGATGTGTGGTGCCACAGAGCAGGAACCCAAGTCAAGTCCTGCCCCTGAGAAGTACAGATAGCTGACAACTAAGGGAAGCTGCTGATTGGGTGGTGAAATTCCAAAGCTGCATGGCTGCATCACCGATGACTAATCCCGGCGCTCTTCTGAACAAACTTGTCCCGGACATCAAGTTGTTCAATGATGAATCAGCTGGAATAGTGAAGCCGTTCCTCTGTTTCAGAGACTTTGAGAGATGCCTTCATTTCATCTCTCCTCGACCTTTGTCTTTACTCTGTCATCAGTTAGCCAACTGCAGCTGGTCCAAAACGCTGCAGCACAGTTACTGACTGGCCACATCTCCTGCACCAGCATCCTCACACTGGCTGCCAGTTAGTTTTCAAATTGATTTTAAGATTTTGTTATTCATTTTTAAGGCGCTGCAACCTCATACCTTTCTGATCTTTTGAATTGGTGCACTCCTGAGGTCACTGAGGTCTGCAGATCAAATGCTCCTAGCTGTCCCGAGGTCCAGATTAAAGCACGGAGCCTTTGCTGTGACCTCAGGACCTCCCCAACATTGGACACTTTCACAGCTCGTCTGAAAACCCACTTTTATTTTTCAGCTTTTCAATCAGAATGAGTTTGTTCTACTTTTATTTGCCTTATTTCTTACTCAAATCTTCTCATTTTATGCTTCTTTTCTTAAATTTCGTCATGTCTTCCTTTGTTTTTATCTCTTTTGATTATCTTAAATGTACAGACCTTTGGTCAAACGTTGTTGTTTTAAATGTGCTGTATAAATAAATTTGACTTTGACTAACAAAGTCAAACCTAACCTAACAAACACAAAGTGAGTGAAGAAGAAACACTTGTGGGAATCCCCCCGCAGCCTCGACCCACTGAAGCATAACTAAGGGAGGGTTCAGGGTCAGCGGACCCAGCCTAATGCTTTAACCCTGATCTTTAAACTAGAGAAGTCTTTGTGTTTATCGAATCCAAACTACGAGCTGGTTTCGAGACGAGGCCCCTGAAAGCTGAAGGCTCTGCCTCCCATTCTACTTAAACCACCGGTAAGCCCACAGTCTGCGAAATGCTTTTAGTTTCATTTCCGGCGGCAGACTGCTTCTCACATCTGTACTTCACATCTGTCCACAGCGACATCTGCGACAACTGCTCACGCTCCCTCATCTGTCTGGACCAGGAGGTAAGACTGGAAGTAAAAAAGAGCTGCGGCCGTTTTTTAAATTTGCATGTAAGATTTTGAATGTTTGTTTGTTTTTTCTTTATTGCAAAACAACAACAAAAACCAGAGAACTGTAAGAAAGTTTCGTTAGTGTAAGTTAATCTAACGGAGACGTCGTTTCGATAATAAAATGCCACATAAATCTGTTAAATCACATTTGGTGCAGTTAGTGAGCTGGGTGTGGTTCACTCTTGTCAGGAAATCAGACTGCAGGGTTGTGCCTGTGACGCCACTGTGGTGTTCGCCTGGTTTCTTTTTCTTTCTCTAAATCGATCATCTTCTCCAAAGTGACCATTCAGATTTGCTTGTTTAACAAACTAAAGCAAAATGTATTTTCACATATTTGAACTTTCGGAATCAACATCACAGAAACGAGTGAGCGATGTTTTTGTTTTTTCAGCTCCGGTGTTGCGCCAAAAACGGATTTCCAAGGTCTCCGTGTGTTTTCATGTGTAACATCTTTACGTTGGTCAATGAGCAGAGTTTACAAAAGGTTATACATAAAATTTTAAAAATTACCTGTTTTTCAAGCGTCTTTATAACTCTGTGTTATTGTGCCTACATTATAACCAATCCGGTCCTTTGTGTCCGCTTAAAGTATGTTTACCGGACCATTGTAATATTTGTGTTTCTGCTGTCCTCGTGCCCAGGTGACCTTTTTTAAAAAGACATTTTAATGTCAACGAGGTTTTTTCTTTTACTGGATAAATAAAGGAAACATTAAAGTCACGGCCAAAAACTTTACCTTGTTACAGGAATGTTGTTTGTGGCTCAAGATGACTTGAGCCGCGTTTCACATATTATACACCAACAAGTTATTTAAAGCAGTTTAAATGCAAGCGATCAGTTTTGGCAAAATAAACTTTAGTCTGACTTTGATCGAAAGAACCGATAAGAGCTGGACACATGTGCTGTAACCATGGCGGTATTTTTGTGCCTCTATTCCGAGCGCACGTTAAAAAAAAATGCAAGCGCAAATGTTGCATTTTGAGAAGAAATTTATTTTAGTTTAATTTGAGCGAACAAAATTCATTCCTGCGTGAGAGAAATGCATTTCACTGTTTGCTATTATCCACATCCACGCACAATAACAGCCGCGCTCGCTCAGATCTCTGTGCTCACAGACATCTGCAGACCTGCTCTCAGTGTGTCTCAGCTCTCTGTACACCCTTAGAAGTGTGCCACAAAACCCACCAATCACAGACTTGGATGCAATAATTCTGATTGGCTGTTACGGTCTCCAATCAGCTCGCTAGCTACTGCATTCCGGAAGCACGGTCCAGAATGTAGCTAAAGCCAGTGGAGTGGTTTGGTTTAAACTAGATTAAAAACCAATAACAGTCTCAAAAATATATATTTAAAATAAAATAATGAAACATACTAACAGAAAATGGATTCTTGAAGTGTGAAATTATCAAACAATTTTGATGATAAAGACAAAATGCAGATAATTAAAAGTCTTTATGTGTGAATTTGATTCAGTGCACTACACTGAGACCTAAGAAGGACATTAGACATAGCTCTGAGGCAAATGAACTGTTGTGGTGCTATTTACAAGGAATGAGGCAAAGAAACTGCACTTTGTTTTTAATTATGGAAATATGACTCGATGCAGTGACTGTGGATGTGTTTTCATTGACTCCACAGATTAAACAGTATAACTGACTCAGCTCAGAAGATCCTTTTTCCATCATGAATGCCAAGCTAACCAAAAGCAGGCAGAGAGCCATCTGCTCTGAGCTGGGGAGAGTCAGGCTGCAGCTGCTGTACAAGGCCAGCGTCCACGGCTTCACCGGTGCAGCATTTCACCAACAATGTGACCACCGCTCTCCCACTGTGTCCGTGGGCTACAACAACTCTGGTTTTGTGTTTGGAGGCTACACCAAACAACCCTTTAATCAGTCTGGAGGGTTTGTGAATGATGATAAAGCTTTTCTTTTTACCTTCACTGGAGAGCAGCTCCTCAAGTATCCCGTCACTGGTCCTGGAAATGCAGTGAAAATGATCGAAAACTCTGGACCTTATTTTGGAGAAGCACTGGTTCTTGTCTATGGAAGCAAGCCAGTAGCGTACAGCAGTCCAGGAAATTATTACAACTTCACTGCTGCAGAGATGCATGGCAATGATCTCAACCTGACGGAGTGTGAAGTCTACCAAGTGGAGGGTAGGTCCACTAGGTTACCGGCTGTCTGCATAATTTATCCCAGACATAAAATAACTTTTAGTTATAATAACAATAACAGGTATCACACGTTATATTCTTGCCCTCTAACAGGCCTTTAATCATTCCCTCCACCCCCTCCACCCTAAATTGAACACGTGGTTAAGAAAATAGATTTCATCACAAGCTCATCCAACCAAAATACTGATGAGTTTATTGCACGGCAGTGGGGTCCATCTTTGATCTGTCCACAATATTCAAGAGTATCAGTTGAATTTTAAGGAAACCTGCAAACATTTGCCCCAAACTGCATTCAAGGTCAAGGTCACATTTACGGTTCTGTGATGGATCGTGAGCCGGGTGAGCGACTGCAGCACTGATGTCCTGCTGTGTTTTTGCTCTTGAACAGAAAGCTCTGAACTTGAGAGGCCATGGAGGACGATAGTGTGGGAGTCTGAGTAAGTGTGACGGAGCCACAGTCCTGACTCTTGTACAGCACACTGATCTACAAACAGCTGGAGGAATATGTTAATCAGTTGGCTGCAATGATATGATATTATATTTACTGACACATATTACAGTTGCTGCAAAAGTTCTCCATCTCCTCGTTTGTGCAGGAAGAGGGCGGGGCTGATTGAGAGCATTAAGAGCTACAAACCCACAGTCAGCTCTGTGACCCAGGCTCGGGTTTTGCTCATCGGACCAGTCGGAGCTGGAAAGTCCAGCTTCTTTAACTCTGTCAACTCTGTATTCAGAGGCCACGTCACCAGCCAGGCCATATCTGGCTCCTCCTCCACCAGCCTCACCACACAGGTGATTGATTATTGTGAGTGGTTTCAGCGGCCCCCTTTCTGTGCGCTGTGCTCTAATCGCTTTGTGTCCAACAGTTTCGCTCGTACTCTGTGAAAGCCGGGCGTGAAGGGAAACCTCTGCCGATAATCTTGTGCGATACCATGGGGCTGGAGGAGAGCAAAGGGGCGGGGCTTGACATCGATGACCTGAACAGCATCCTCAAAGGTCACCTGCCAGACTGTTATCAGGTGCTGCATTACATCAGCAGGACACTGAATGTATGAAACAGAGATTTGTCAGCTGTCGGCTCTAACCGTGTCTCCGTTCCTCCTCTAGTTCAACCCTTCAGCTCCTCTGCATCCTGAGGCCCACGGCTATCACAAGTCTCCTAGACTCAAAGACAAGATCCACTGCGTGGTTTATGTCATTGATAGCTGTAAGATCTCCATCATGCCCACGGGGCTGGAGGAGAAACTGGACGCCATCCGCAGAAAGGTCAACTTAATTGGTTAGTAGAGCCGAGTGCAGTCATTACAGCTGTTTTCCTTCTGAATCTCAACACAACATACAGATACAGCCACTCAAAGCTGCTACTTTCAGCCAGAGGTCAGCAGGCCGACTGTCAGCCACCAATCAGCCGCTGGGAGTCCCGCCTCCTTTCTGCCATAAACACGCCCCTTTCACGCAGAGATGGTGCTTTCTTCAAATAAACTTTGACTTGGATAGTTAGGTATAGGATGAGTCTTTACCTTATAATATAGATTAAATAATAAATACATAAACAAGACTGAATTGAAATTCAACCCTTTTTATAGCTTTCGTTGTAAACCTAAACCAGATATTTTACACTGAAAATCACCAAAACTGTTTCCAGTAAACAGATTTTCATTCATCCATTTTAATCTAATTTAATAAATCGAAACAATTTTAAAGGAAATGAAATACAGAAAAATAATATTCTTGCTCACAGGTCCCAGACCAGATGTGGAGGTCATTTCTGTGACTGGCAGAGCTTCATTTGCTCATTTATTCTGTTGTTTGCGGGCTTGCTACTTCTTCAGACCTCGGTTTGATTATAAGCATGTTCTTCATTATTTCTGTCAGGCTGCAACTTAATATCTTTAATTTATTCTTTAAATTCTTAAATTGTGTAAAGCTCTCGAGCAACTCATAATTTCTCTATATTTTGAGTGTATTATGAGTTTCATGAAGACTGGGACGATGGAATGTGGGACAGGACTGAGCAAACAGAAGTAACCTCATGGTGCCTTCCCAAAATTCGACATTAGCAGACTACCAGATAAATGCAGTCTATACTAGTATGTGAACTCCATAAATGTAAGGTTTTCCTGATTAATATTCAGTTTCTGTTGTTTTTGTTGAAACCGTCCATTTGTTTCAACGAGGAGAATAAATGGTCTCACAGTTACATCAAGATTTTAAAAAGACCAATATTCGGATGTGCGATTGTTTATGAACGCAGCTCTGCGCTGAGACTGTGGAGCAAACCTTGATAAATTAAACGGGCATGTTCCGGCTTGTCAGATCTTCCCACCCAGTAGAAATTAGTCCTGCATATTTTTAAGTCACACTCTGTTATAAAGGGTTAGGGGTTAGTTAATAATAGTGTTAACATGCTGCACAGGTCATGAACAAGACTTTATTTTTAATTTTCGTTGTAAGTGGGCCAAAGCAGTTAATTAAAAGTAGTCTAACATAAATGCTGTAATTTGATTATTTTAATAAACATGTAACTTGGATGGATTGGATGCTGGCGTGACCACAGTGCACACGTCTGCTGTCGCTCACAGTGGTACCGCTCAGGGAGTTTGTGCGTTCGCTCAGACACATGAAACATTAGAGGGAACGTTGGTGCCAAGTACCGTAGGAATAACTTACCTGTATTTGTTATGGACAAACTATGATTAGTATAGAAGTCTATAGAAGCAGAGCACTCTTTGGGTTCAGATCTGGAAGGTCATTCCTCTCAGTCACACTTTCCCCCCCAGATGAGAGCGTTCCCATCCAAAGACTCCAGGTCCTGTGAACTGTCACTAAGCACACAACCATGAACACGTATACCCACAGTGCACACACTGGTGCATCCTCCCTCCTCACCAGAGAGATGAGATTCTATTATAATGATACTGTGATGACTCACTATGTCAGAATCTGTGGCATTTTGGAAATGAGCTTCCTGCTCATTTGTTTCCAGGCATTCCTCAGCTGGTGCTCCTCACTAAAGTAGATGAAGCCTGCCCACTGGTGAAAGAGGACGTGAGAAACATTTACAAGAGTGGCTACATTAAGGAGATGGTGAGGATGGTTCTACAGGGAAAACAAACCTTTTTTAGTAAATACAAATAACGTTGAACATGGTAGGATGAGCCTTTTCTTGTACACTGTGATACAGATGCAGGAGGTCAGCTCCCGGCTCGGCGTGCCGTTGTCCTGCATCATTCCAGTGAAGAATTACAGCGAGGAGTTGGAGGTGGACACCGACTGTGACATCTTGTTGCTCAGCGCCATCATTCAGATGCTTCGCTTTGTTGATAATTACTTTGACGAGCTCAGTGACCGAATGAGCAACATGCAAACCAAAGAGTAAGAAGAATTTAAGATGGTTCATTTACCTCCAGGTGACCCTGCACAGTGCTAGTTTACTGTGTTACCAGGGTTACTGGGAAAGCGGGAAGAAAGCTTCTTGCTATTTTTGCTTTTCATGAAGAAATCTTTTTCATTAAACTAACATAAAAACATCAAACATGTATTTACTTAAATACTTGGAGCAATTTTATCAGCTGATTCTAAACCAATCAAGTAAATTTCATCTCACCAGATTCCACTAAATATTTTACATTTACATTGTACTTGTGTGACAGAATTACACAGAAAATCAGAAGAAAACAATGACATCAAGGGTGTAGTTACAATATGCATTCCTGTTTGGAAGAAGACAAAGTTGCTTGGCTTATTTAGTGGGCTCATGCGACGCTGACAGATCTGACAATTTAAAATATTATTTTGTGATTTTTCACAAGAAAATAACATTATTACACTTTTAAAACATCTTATCAGAACAGTTGTACTTTGCTGTTGACTTGTGTTAACATAACTTTCCAGCACTCCCTTCAGTTTTTGTCTGCTGCGCTATACAAACACACGTGTTGGACCAAAGCTCTTAATCTTTGAATGCAGGTGTGTAAAATCAAGCATCTGCAGCCTGCCTCTACGAGCATCTGTGGAAGAGTGAGTTACAGTCTTCCACAGATGAAGACTGTAACTCATGATATCATGATACAGTCATGATATCTCCCCCTGACGCCAGGTCAGGGGGAGATATCATCCCCCCCACGCGACATCGGGTACCAAGGTACGGATTCATGGAAGGACGAGACGGCAGATAGTTTTTATTCGGCAGCCTGTTATAACTGCACCCCAATGCTGTCATGTATATGAGTGCAAAATCATACCTACTGGCAACAGATAAAGTCATGATATTAATCTGTGGTTCCACCAGGGCGTGCCCCGCCTCTCGCCCCATGACAGCTGGGACAGACCTGAACCTCCTGACATGGATGATGTCGGATGGAGCCTCCGGCCGGACAGGTCCACAATAACGCGTCACTACGTGGTGATCGTGGGAACTCTTTCGATTCGATGTTCAAAAAGCCAGGATGATGGTGTCACATGTAAATGCAGCGTCGTCATTTTGTTTATGCTTTGTTTTGTTTCCTATTTCTACTTCATGGTTGTTCGTGTGGTTTAGATGCTTCAGTTTTGCACTGTTCTGGTTCATTATAGTCATGTTGCTGCTGTATGCCTCCAGCTATGCCTTTCGGATCTGCAACAATAAAGGTTGTTGAGCATTTTGGCTTCGTTGTCGTGAATCCGAGTCGCACAGTTTCCCTGTGAACTCTGTGGTGATGATACACTTGTTTTTTAAATAGAAATTTCATTAAGTTTATATTCGGTTAGGTTTTATATGTTCTCTGACTGGTAACTGACCACTTATGACTTACAAGGACAAAGTTACATCATTTTAAATATGAGGATCATTTGAATAAACCGGTACCTGCCTAAAGTCTAAAACCCACGGCCATCAAATGTTGCATTTGGGCTTCAGACTCTCTGCTGAGTGTAACCTGTAAACTCTCTTCATCCATTGTTTGTGATGTTTTTCTAAATCATAGAAATAATTCTGTCATCAAACCCACTTTTTGCATCAGGGTCTTTTTTTGGGTGTCATAGAAGGAAAAGCAGTGAAAAGGCACCAAACAGATATTTTGTCTGTTTAATTTGTCAGGAGATCACAAAGATAAAAATGGCTGCAATTTATAAACAGTCAGTTTTGTAAAATTCCTTAAATTTCAGCTGAAAGTCTGATTTGATGATTTCAAATCCTCGGAGGTGAAATCTGTGTCTGAACACTGATTGGTGCAAATGCCAAAAGTTTAGTTTGAATAAGTGAGCCAGCATGCACCATGTTTGGGAATACACAAGTAGTTGCTCACATGACTTTGGAACAATACGAAGTTTTGTGAGTCTACATTACTTATAACGGGAAAACGTTGCATGTCTGCATTTACCTGCTAATACCTGCACGTGTGTGTGTGCACGTGGTGTCAGTGTCAGTATCCTCCTTTCCTATAAAATCTCAAAGTGCACAAACAAAGAGAAAAACTGAAATTTATTAATGCAGCTCAGACAGTTACTGTACAGCAAACGGCGCTGGAGTCCCTCCCTCCCAGTGTAACAGGACTGTGGCGCTACAGCCACCTGTAAACCACACGACTCAGCGCCTGCTTGTGCAACAGCATCAATAATCATCAGCTATAAACGTTCAAACAAACACACGTTGAAATAGTGTTTCAAATATCAGTGTTGCGTTAGTGCACATAATAGACGGGGAGCTCTCTCCGACATTAAACCGCTTTGTACAACAAGAATGACGCAGTGAAGAGGAATGTCCTGGAAAAGCACAACACCTGGAATTCAGTGATGATCAGTCGGCTTCTGTTTTCTCCCGTTTCATGATTTTGAAGCATTCCCTCCAGCGAGAGGACGGCCCTCGATTCGTGAGGCTCCTGGAGGAAATGTGTGAAATGCGGAGCTGAAAATGAAGTCCAGCAAAAAGGTTGTTCAGCGATATGGGCAGAGATCGTTAGGACGACTACAAGAAGGGAGCAGAGGAGAGGCTCTTATGGCACAGCTGACGCTGTCAGACAGTTCAAACAGTCGATCGCTTCAGTCATTAACAGAAAAGGCAGCCACGTGAACGAGGAACATCGACTTGAACCACTTGAATAACAGTGCAGAACACACACATTCACACACATAAAGTACACGTGGGATTGGTCCGAGTCCAAAGGCTGATGTTAGTGTCAACCAAAGAGTAAAGCAGGGGAGTTGGCACCGCACCGCAGCTTATATCTGCTAAACGAGCACCAACACGCAAAACATTTTGTTTTGGCTAATTTTACAGCAATTTTTATTTCTGTCCTCTGAAATCAAAGAAGCAGCTCGTTTGAATTTGGCGCCATCTGCTGTTCGTCTCATAAAGTAGACGCACGTGACTATTTAAACATACGTGAATGGCTCACAGTGGAGCGTTACCGTGGAGCGTTACTGTGGAGCGTTACCGTGGAGCGTCAGAGCCAACACTCATTTATGGACCAAGGGATCAACATGGCGATGATGTGTAAAAATAATGATCCATCAACAAAGGACGAGGGCGTTGGCACCTTTGTGCAACTGGTCTATTTAACCGTAGTGGAGCAATACTGCAATAAGTACGCATTAATCCTACTTATTAATGTTTGAGGTTAAAGATTTTCATAAGAACGCAGCCTGTGACATCTCCAGCTAAAAACATGCAGCTAATATGTCTCAAACGCGTCGTATTATCAGTTTTATATTTATAAAATAACAGAATCAGAGGCCACTGCTGTCACCATCACAGATATCTAAAAAAAGCTTGATCTGCAAACACGAGAAAATAAAACTCGATTTAGAAATTAAAACCAAGAAAGATTACAAAGTCTTGACCATAAAAACGGAGTTAGAGGGGAACAGAAACTGGCGGCTGTCACTTTGGCCCGTCAGCGTTTGGACTCCACCACATCGATCACACACTGTGCTTACCTCAACATCTGAAGAGATGACATTCAAAGAGTAGAAAAGAAATTTAAGAACTTTGCCTCGTGTGTTTTTTCTGTACAAGATTATTAAAAAAAAATTACTAATCAGTTATACATATTTATAAGACAACATTGTTTACGTTACATTAATATAAAGAAATACAAGTTTCGTATTATCTCACTTGTATGCAGTATTCCTTTCTCAGAGCACGTGTGGGCTACATCTGCACTGAGGATTAAACGTATGAGACGCCTGTGATCACAACACAGGTGTTGAACTCCGCTTTACTTTCAAGCTACCAGGAAACTTCACACAATATTGCTGCAATAGCGCCATCTGGCCACAAGGTGGAGCGAAGAGACCCAACCAGGTTCCAGCACTGAACTTCTTCGCCCCGTCTGCTCTGATCCACTGTGAAGTGGAGAAGGTTCATATTTCCCTCAAACTCAGGCAGATGGTTCATTCAGTCCCCCCGCCTGGTTCTTCCCACAGTTTTGGGCTATTTGCGGTCCAGGAAGCTCCCTGTTTCCGCCTACTGAAAAAGGAATACTGCATTTTTGCGCTTCTTGCTTCTTCGGCTTGTGTTCCTCAGCTCTAGTGTGCATCCTGCAGGGCGAGGGAGGGCGAAGGAGCTTGATCTAGGCAGTGCCTTCCTTCGGAGAGGACGGGGTCTGGGATGTGGAGCTGGAGGAAGAGGACGCAGAGCTCTTCAGGGACCCCAGAGTCTTGCTGAACCAAGAGTTCTTATTGGCTTGAATCTCGGTCATCAGAACTCCCCGCTGATGCTCGAGCTCCTGCAGAGCCACAGAAGGATTCAGTCATTAATGAGAGCACGAGCAGGTTTATCACTGTGTCACATCGCTGTGCTTTAATACTCTACAACGCTTCACTCCTTACAAAGGGTCACATGGTGGCCTGCAGTGGGCTCCATGCTTCTGTACGTGCTGCTGTTTTATGTTATTAAGCTGACAGTCGTTATTTGCCACAGCAGAGGCAGAAAACAGATGCAGGAAGTTGAAGTGCATACAGTAAATTTCCTGCTGCTGCTGTTCAGCGTTCTGTGCACGTGATCCAACAGCCAATCAGATCATCAGCAACACGTGTGTTTTAGCTGAATGTCTTTACAGCTCTGATCACGTGCTTGGCATGCCTCCCTGAAAACACTAGATGCCGTTAACACCTGCTGACCTGAATGCGGCACTTTGCCTCCACCAGCTGCAGTTTGGTCTGCGCCAGCTCCAGCTCCAGCTGTCTCAGCTGCTCCTTCAGTCCATCCTTCTCCTCGTCGTGTGGCTCTGAAGACGTTCTGTCACCACCAGGAGACGAAGTCTGGAGGGACCCGACTGAGCTAAACAGGTCCCTGCAGTTCTGACAGCCCATCACTTTGTTCTGCATGAGGGGGATAAAAACACACAGGTTCACCGCAACAACTTTAAAATTATGGTTAAAAAAAGGAGGTGAGGCCGAGTCTATGTGAAGAAAGGCCTGCTGCTCTATGTCCCGTACAGCATCCTGATTACCACGATGTGATGTTGCACCGTATCATTTATCCAGGCCCGAGGCGGTACCCTGCTAGACCCACAGAGCGCCACACCAGCATCACGCCCATTAAGGACTTGATTGTGCAAACCTGAAGCTCAAAGGTCTTTTGTTCTCTCACGCAACCGTGGTTTTCCTTCGGACTCGGCAAGTGTCCTAATTTGCATCTGAAGCACACTTTGCATTAAAAGGACCGTCTCACCCTGACCATGTCCAGCTCCTCTTTTGTTGCCGCCTGTTGTTTTTCTAGCCTGGTGCTCAGCTGGGAGCAGATCTGAAACCCAGAGAGGAAACCTGGTTATGTTTGACTTGAACAAGATAACAATGCATACATCAATGTGTGCAGTTCACAATGAGGAGACGCCAGCAGACCTGTTTGTATTCAGCTATGATTGCTGTGGTTTTCTTGATTTCCAGCTCTGCTTTTTCCAGCTCCCTCCTGAACACCTCCTTCAGCTGGGACAGCAAGAACAAGATGTCAAAATTATTCTTTTAAAATGACAAACTAATGAGAAAGATGTGCTGACTGTGCATAACGACACAACTGAGGCGTTCAACTCAGCAACTTGACCTGGATTCGCTCTTTTAGAGCCTGCTAGCAACCACCGACTGGTGACCCATATGTGATCTCTCACTGCTACCAAACTGGGATTTTTTATTTACTGGGTGTGTTGATGTGTAACTGGTTCACTATTACCAATTACACAGAAAGAAAATCAGCCCTAGATCAATGCGTGAGCTGGGGCCTCCTGGTGGGCTGCACAGGTACTACAGGTGGGCCACAGTAACAACAGAAATTCAGTTCAACTTATTTATATAAAAAGTGAATATTATTATTGTGATATTACTGAAATGTAATGCTCTGTGTTGACCTTTGTGTCCCAGTGGCAGGGTTAGGACATACAGGGCTTTCTCTTGTATTTTGCTCTGAGCAGAAGCGGGGCAACTCCAGGCCTCGAGGGCCGGTGTCCTGCAGGCTTTAGATGCATCCTTGATCCGACGGTAATGAACTCACCATCTGATTCAGGTGTTGACCCAGGGTGAGATCTGAAAGCTGCAGCACATCGGCCCTCGAGGCCTGGAGTTCCCCACTCCTGCCTTAGAGCGAAGATTTAAGACTGGTTGGCTGATTGTTGGGGGCCGCAGCACTCGACTTTGGGAATGACCGATTTAGATTAGTGAT